AATGGATTACAAGCAGCCTCAAGCAGGCGGCTCGGTTCCGGCGCAGTCGGCACCCGGTAAACAACGAGTGCCAGAAAAGTTGCCGGCGCGCGCAGAGGCTGTTGTCAAGCAGGAAGCTTACCACGACGCGCATCAGTACGCTGCAGCCATACAGCCTGACGCCAATCACAATGTCACGGCGCCCGAGATGACAGCTGCGCAGGACTACACACATCTCATGCCAGCTACGCACAACCGAGTACCGTCCGTGGGTGGAAACCTAACGGATCCTTCTGACCACACAACGCCGATGGAGAGTGGCATGTCCTCAGGGCCATCTGTGCAGAACACGCCCAACACGCATCTGACAGAGATCACACCATCACCCCGGTCAGACGGCATACCGGATATCAGGAACAGCTCCTCGCCATACGCTGGTTCCAGCGCTCACCACGCTCGTATGCATGCGACCAATGTCATCGCTCTTTTGACCAGGTCCACAAGTTAAAGTAAGCCTGTCCATCACAGCCCAGCTGATCGGGCTCCGCAACTAACGATTACAGCCACCACAAGAGGTACCATGACCGGCCGCACAAGTGCGAGCACAAGGGATGCGACAAGCAATTCGGAACCAAGACACACCTGGATCGTCACATCAACGACAAGCATACCAAATTACACAAGTTCCACTGCCTTGACCCGACTTGCTTGTACTCCAAAGTGGGAGGCAAGGGTTTCCCGAGGAAAGATAACTGGCGGCGACACATGATCAACAAGCACTCAATCAACCCGACGGAGGACCCTGAGCCTCATTTCGTCGATGAGACCATGACCGGGACTTGATTTGGATAGATGCGCTCCATTGCGTGTGGGGCCGTGTATAACGAGAGTGGCGCTCATTCTCATCCAGTGCGATGGGCCCCATCAACAGAGCGGGCGAGCGGGTACAATTGCAAAGAACGCAGTTGCAGCGAATTAAGCACAACTGGCTAGTCTGTTTTTTTTTCCGTCTACGACATACTTGTTTGTCTTTGTCTTTGTCGATGTCGTCTTCTTTTACTACTACTTGTTCCTCTGTTCTGTTCTGTTGGCAGCAGTTAGGCGTTGGGAGGCAACGGGAAATCACGATTGGCAAAACCAGCAGCAGCAGCACCGTGTAGGCGCAAAGGGCATAGGGTGAAGACAAGCCCATCGTGCTTATCACCAGCGATTTTTACAATTTTCATTCCCTAAAAAACACAGGCCAGCCCCGCCTCGACGGTCGGGGGTCATCATTCCCTTCGTTTAGATGGGTGGGGGGGTATCAACTCAAATCCTTGATCAATTTCCGTACCAATTTCTGCTGCTCATCCACCGTGAGGCTGCCTTCATCTGTCTGCTGCACGGCCCTGCCGACGGCTATGATCGTCTTGACGCTCTCGCTGTTCACCCACAGGCGGCCGTTCCTGCCGACGGCCGTCTCAAAAGCGGCGCCGAGGCTGCCGAGCTCGTCGAGCACGACGACCTTGCCCTCCTCGGCGCTGCGGGGCATCAGCAGGCGGCGGGCCATGCCGAGGGAGATGTTGAAGAGCATGCCGCCCGTCAGGGGCCCGAGGCCGTCGGCCTTGCCGGTGGAGGGGTTGACGCACTCGAGCTCGGCGTCCATGTGCTTCTCGGCGCTGGCGACGCGGGCGTAGACGAGGGCGCCCGAGGGCAGCTGGGGGCGGTTCTTCTTGGAGGCGAGCTCGAAGGAGAACTGGGGAAGCAGAACGGTGGCGGAGTAGTCGGCGAGGTGGACGAGGAAGGCCTCCTGGGCCGAGCGCTGGACGGTGCCGATGACGAGGTCACCAACGGAGGGGACGTACTGGAAAAAAGACAGAGAACGTGTGTCAGCTTGAAAGTTCACGGACGGGCCCAACTGGAGGGGGGAAAAGATGGCATACCCTTCCGCGCGACTGCTCAACCCAGATAGAGTTCTTCTTGGCGTCTATGGCGAGGTTGCCGGCGATAGTGGGCTTGATATCGCGGGGAGGGACATGTCGCAGACCGGGGCCGAGTCGCAGGGGAAGCTTCGGGTGGGAGGGAACCAGAGAGGGATCGATGTCGTCCCCGGGAAGGACGAAGGGGCCTACTGCCGCCATATCAAGTTGTGTTTGTCGAGTGCTCCGGCTGTAGGGTATGCGTCGGTTGCTGTCTAGCGGCTTGATCATGCGACAATGGCAATGGCAGAGCCTTGGACGAAGACTTGATCGAAGCTTTGCGACCGAGAGAAAGTCAGTGGGGCGTTCTGTTGACTGATAAGGATGCAGCCGCCGCTTATCGAACTCGTCTTGTGCCCGCTGCAACTGCAGCAGGGGGGGGGGGCGCTTTGTGGAGAGAAGGCCACAGACGGCGCGGGCTGCTGCCAGCTGGGGCAACAATTTTTCCAAAATTTTGGTCGAGTGCTCCCCCACCACCACGACGACCGACCTGGGTGCCTTTTGAGATCCATCCAGATCGCGAACCAACCAAGACAACCTTCCCACGTACCAACACGATCTCTCGGACGCCATATACCCTTTTCTCCCTTCTTCTTCTTCTTCTTCTTCTCACAGACAAGTCACATACTAGTCCAGATGTCTGAAAACGCGGGCTCGCAGTCCGGCCCCGCGCCGAGCGACCGCGTCGTCATTGGCCTTGCCTTTGGCAACTCCAACAGCTCCATCGCCTACACTGTTGACGACAAGGCCGAGGTCATTGCGAACGAGGACGGAGGTGAGTTCTCATTGTGCAGTCCGGTGCGCCCTGCAGTCAAGCTGATCTTGAATCACAGACCGTCAGATCCCCTCGATCCTGTCCTACGTCGATGGCGATGAGTACTACGGCCAGCAGGCCAAGGCCTTCCTCGTCCGCAACCCCAAGAACTCGATCGGCTACTTCAAGGAGTTTGTCGGCCAGGAGTACGTTCTGTCCTCACCCCTGCGTATTTCCAACGAGACTCACCGTGTTGCGACAGCTTCGCCTCCATCGACCCCACCCACAACCACGCCTCTGCCCACCCCCAGGAGGCCGACGGTGTGATCACCTTCACCGTCAACGACAAGGACGCCGAGACTCCCTCCACCATCTCCGTGTCCGAGGTCAGCACCCGCTTCCTCCGCCGCCTCGTGGGTTCCGCCTCCGACTACATCGGCAAGAAGGTCACCTCGGCCGTCCTCACCGTCCCCACCAACTACTCAGACAAGCAGAAGGCTGCCCTGATAAAGGCCGCCACCGACGCCGGTCTCGAGGTCCTTCAGCTCATCGCCGAACCTGTCGCCGCCGCCCTCGCCTACGACGCGAGGCCCGAGGCCGAGGTCAGCGACAAGATTGTCGTCGTCGCCGACCTTGGCGGCACCCGCTCTGACGTGGCCGTCCTCGCCTCGCGCGGCGGCATGTACACCATCCTCGCCACGGCGCACGACTACGAGTTTGCCGGCTGCCACCTCGACGACGTCCTGATCGAGCACTTCTCCAAGGAGTTCATCAAGAAGCACCAGAAGGACCCCCGCACCAACCCCAAGAGCCTGGCCAAGCTCAAGTTCGAGGCCGAGGCCACCAAGAAGGCGCTGTCCATCGGCACCAACGCCAGCTTCAGCGTCGAGAGCCTCATTGACGGCTTTGACTTTGCCTCGACCGTCAACAGGCTGCGCTACGAAATGTCGGCCCGCAAGGTCTTCGAGGGCATCAACCGCCTCATCGAGGGCGTCATCAAGAAGGCCGGCCTCGACGTGCTCGACATTGACGAGGTCGTCCTGTCCGGCGGCACCTCGCACACGCCGCGCATTGCCAACAACCTCGTCGGCCTCTTCCCCGAGTCGACCAAGATTGTCGCCCCCGCCACGAGCGCCACGGCCATCAACTCCTCGGAGCTTCAGGCCCGCGGCGCCGCCCTCCAGGCCTCGCTCATCCAGGAGTACGAGTCGGACGACATTGACCAGTCCACCCACCCCGCCGTCACCACCGTCAAGCACATTGCCAACGCCATTGGCGTCGTCACGCGCGTCGCCGACGAGGACGTCTTCACCCCCATCGTCCCCGCCGAGACGGCCGTCCCGGCCCGCCGCACCGTCCACGTCCCCGTGCCCAAGGCCGGCGGCGACGTCCTCATCCGCGTCGTCGAGGGCGGCACCCACATCAAGGTCACCAAGCCCGAGCCCAAGGAGAAGAAGGCCGACGACTCGGACGACGATTCGGACGATGACTCGGACGAGGAGGAGGAGGAGGAGCACCGCGAGAAGGTCTGGAAGATCGGCAGCACCGTTGCCGAGGCCGCCATCCGCGGCGTCAAGGCGGGCGGCAAGGTCGAGGTCACCATCAACGTCAGCGCCGATCTCGGCGTCACCGTCACGGCGAGAGAGGTCGGTGGCAAGGGTGGCATTCGCGGCCAGGTCAAGGCGCCGTGAAGCGACTTTTTGTTTGGCAACAGGAAGAGCGAGAGAGGAATGCGATGAGAAAAGCGAGAGTATGCCGACGTTAGATGCAGCATGAACGATGCTGGATCGGGAGGTGACAGGAGCCAGGAAATATCGATAGAGTACATGCGCGCGTGGGATAGAGCAAAAATGATGAATGTCGACATGTGGCATGAGCCGATGATGCCGTCGTTCTATTGTAGCTGGCGACCTTTTCTATTTCGATAGACATGAAGATACGGCATGTGTTTTGATTCATCGCTCTGCTATTCGTGTCTTTGTCTGCATCGAAAACTGTAAACCCCCGCACAGGTCCCTCCTCGACGCTCAGTTATTCAGAGTAGTTTACCTGTCTCACAAGCCCGCAAATCGAACCGTGTGAAAAGTTCACGAGATCATCTGTTGTCACTCGGCAGGCTCCATGCAACCATGTCATCCCTCACCTCAACCTCCTCAAACTCTCTCGCCCGTCGGAACACGTCGCCCCTTCCGCCACCCCGCCCGCCACTACTTCCACTTCCCATTGTCGGTGCCAAGCTCGTCAAGCTCTCGCTCCGGCTCCGCCCATTGTCATGCCTCAGCAGATCGTCACGACTACTCGCCGCGCTGTCATCATGCCGGTGTCGCGATTCGTCCCGACTCTGGCTACCACTACTCGGATAACTGCTGAACCCGAAACCGCTGCCATTGTTATGCCTGCCCGTCACAGTACTCACGCTCTTGTCACTAGCATTGCTACCCTTGTGTCTATGTCTTTGCGGCGAGAAGGCATGCATGAGGGAACTGCCGTGATGCTGCGTGGGCTGGTGTTGTTGACGTCGCATCCGTCGGTAGTCGCCCGGCCGAAGGGTGTCGCCGGCCTGGCCACTACTGCTCCCTTCACCGTCATCGCTCGTCTCAGCACCGCCGTCAAGACCAGCGCCAGCGCCGGTACCACGGCTACGACTGCTCACATAGCCGCTGCTGCTGAGGCTGAACTGGCTCGTCTGCGATGGATTTCGTTGCGGCACTAGCGAGCTTTTGGGCTTAACATGCGCCGACGAGTCGGCCCAACCGTTGCCACCAGCGAAGATGTCCTCGATGCACTGATCGGCGGGAAGCTCGCCCGGCTGGCGGGTCCAGGAGGCGGCGAGAGCTTTACGGTACATGTCTTGCACCTCGGCCTGCTCGCGCGACTTGGCGATGGATGGCAGCTCTGTCTATCTTTAGCACGTGCCATATGCTGCGAGAGTCACCTGTCATTGACGGTGTCGGAAAAGACTTACGGCCTGCGTCATCTTGTTCGACCTGGTCACCTGACATGATGCCCGCGATGCCACCAAACACAGGGGCTGTCTTGAGAGGCGGGGCAACATAGTTCCTATCTCCGTCGACTTGGACCATGAGGATACCAATCTTGATGGTGCTGTTGATCTTGCTATCCTGCATCAAGTAGCGCCGAGCAATGCCCTCTTCGACGTCGGCATCCTCAGCTGCTGGAGTGCCACTCGAAGATGCAGGCCGGGATGATGTTGAAGACGCGCCAGTACCGCCGCCAATGCTGGTGCTGGTGCTACGTTTTCTGAAGTGAGCCTTCTCTAGGCTCGTCCGCTCCCTGCCGTTTCGGACTGGGTTTGCAGCAGTAGCACTCGTACGGGGTAGCGCCTCGCTCTCTTCGACATATTCGCTCAAGTTGAGCCTGACGGTGCCCAGCAAGATCTTCTCATCACGACCGCCGTTGAGGCCACTGGATGACAATTCCTGAAGGATCTCGAGCTCGAGAGGGCATTCGTTCAAATTGTTGTTTTTGTCTAGGCCGATGCGGATATGACCAACAACCTTGGCATAGTTGAACTCGACCTTGTGGTTTGCGATGGGGCACTTTTGAGTGCGGCCGCGGTGCTCAGCATGAATCGAGTGTAAGAGATGCCATTTTACTACAGAGCCACCAGAGACTAATGGGACATTGTTGAGATCGTAAATCTAAGGCATGTCAGGGAACCGGCTGGTGGGTGGGGCCATGAGGATGGGAGAGAAACTCACCTTGAGATGTAGTTCGAACTTGGGCTACAAGAGGTGGAAGCATTATCATCAGCTGTGCTCCGTGTGGATTGGTGTGACGCGCGCGCAACAAGAGGCGCATTCGCGGCCAGTCAGGCTACACATGGAACAGGCCGTCACGTATAGAGGGGCCACTCTTACCTTGCGCCCTTTGCTTACTGTTGGCAGAAAGTTCAAGTTAGCCACGGTTTTGAGAGGCCGCATGGTGTCGATGAGAGGCCGGAGCCTCGCAGCTTGCGGGCTACCAATCTAGTCCAGAGTCGCGCAGGTTGGGGTGGTGGGCTGGTTGGTGGGTTGAGGGCATCGCCAGACTCTGGTGAGCAGTGAAAATGAAGGAGGGGGACAGTGACGGGATAAGGGATAGCAAAGATGAGAGACAATGTGGCTTGGCTTACTGAGGGAAGTCATGTCTCGTGTGTCGCCGACAACATGGGCAGCAGCTTCACGCAGGGTGGGAATGCTGGGTAATCAGCAGCCCTTTACCCACAGACCAGTCAGTTTTTCGCCGAAGATTCGGTCTGTCGGTCGCCGTAGGCAAGACAAGGTCCCGGGGTAATGGTGTTGACAGACAGACAACTGAAGCGAGGCAGCTGAACATGGATGGATCCGAATCTAGGCTGAAGGCGAAAACTGCCGCAGGGACGACACGATAGGACAGGCGTGCGCCAATGCACGTCGTTGAATGGTAATGCGAGCAGGGGTCGTAGTCGGATGCACACAAGGTGCCGTAGCCCGTTCTAGCCTTGGCGACCGAAGATGAAGGAGGGTAAATGGCCGCTCGAGGGTCGATAGGGCAGAACTCGGAGGAGGGGAGTCGTTGTGTTTGAAGAGGTACTTCTGGAGATAGCTGCAGCGCAGGCGGGGGGCCAGAAAAGTGGTGTGATGCGGCTATAGAGGCACCGCCGGAAAGAGAAACCGAAGGGAATAAGGAAGGGTGTGAGATTTAGGTGCCCTGGTTGTTGGGCCTCGAGACGAAACGGTTTCGGAGGATGACGCGGTCAGTGCTGGTGCAGTGGTTGACGAATGCGAAGTGGAATTGATGAGTGCTGATGCTGACGATGGCCCAGCTTTGACTACCTACCTGGTACCCAAGGTCATCCTTAGAACAGGAACAGGAGCAGGGAGATTGAAGCACCCTATCTCTCCTTCCCTTCCTCTACCTGGGTGCTTTCTGGAGGGGAGGGGTGGGCGAGGAGCTCCTCCTTCCCTTGAGCAACGCCTCCCCGCATGGGGGCAGCTGCGAGAGCAACCCAATTGCATGTGCATCAGAAGCAACTCCGGCCCTGGTCGGGCTTTCTTGCCCGTTGTAGTGGAGAAGCCCGCAAGCATGAGATGATCGCTGACTGACAGGGCACTTCTTCCCCCTGTGTCGCCGTTCCTTCGGAGGGGGGGGGGGGCATTGACGCCAACCTGAGCAGAGCATAGGTGCTGTGAGCAGCGCATAAGGTGCTGCTGTGTGCACCTGAGTGGGGTGATAAATCGAGTCGAGATAAGATAAGAGCTTCTACGACCCTGGGCCTTCCATCCAAAATTCCGCCAACCGATTTGCATCACAAGTCACGCCAGCGACCGCGACAGCGACACCACGGGAAAGATACCAAGCGCCAAACGCTCCGTCCTCTGGCAGACCATGCGCTGCCATGCCACCGAATGCGCCCTCCAAAAAGTAGCCGGCCCCGCGTCGGCCGCCGCCAAACGTAAAGAGGCGCCTTCCAGCAACGATGCCTCGAAGAAAGGCAGCCCGGCGCCTGGCGCGGCTCGCTGGCCCGTCAAGCGCCTCAAGATGAGCGAAGACCGAAAGATCGTGACGCAGGAACCAGGCTATGCTCTGAAAGACGGAGAACTCAACCTCCAGACCTTTCTCAAGGCACGCGAATTCGAGATCAAGGCTCTCGAAGAGAGCATGCGACACACCAAGGGAGCCGCGACGAAACGAGCCTTTCAAACAGGTGCCCCGCGGCATGCGCAGACGCACGGCGAGCCATAATGTCAAGAGGGTTCCCAAGAGGCTTCGCAACAGGGCCATGAAAGAGATGCGCGACGACAACACACCGACTGTGACCTCGCGACGGCGCAAACCGACCACGACGCGGGCTAGAATCAGATCGGAGACGGCGAGAAAGCTGGGCATATTGGCCGAGAAGAGGCGCAAACGGAAGCTCAAGGCCGCGAAAGAGAAGGCTCCCACCGACGGCGGTTCTATGAATGATGCCCCGAGCATCCAGACGAAAATCACAACGCGTCCGGCTCGACCCAAGATCAGGCGGAACGTCCTCAACGATCCACCACGACCAAAGTCCAAGTTTCGTAAACGTCAACTGCAAAAGACCTGGCTGCCGACCCATCTTTGGCATGCTAAAAGAGCTAGAATGACGGAGCCCGCGAAGCCTCTATGGAGGTTTGCGATTCCCCTGACACCCAACGAAAAGATATACCGCGCAACGCACCGGGGCCAGGGTGAGAGAGGCGCCGTGGCCTGGGATATGAGTTACATGAGTACCATTGGTCTTTACGGTAACGAGAACGGGGTCTGTCAAGTTCTCCGCAAGCTTGGAGTCATGCAGGAAAGCTGCTGGAGCGAGAGGGGCCAGAGGTGGCGGGCTGGTACCAGGCATTGGAACGGCATGCTCAGCAGGGACACGAGGCTTGGACGGCGGCTCATATGCCCGGCTACTATTCAATGGAATCCACAAGATGCCGAGCAACAGCAGACTCCAGGAAACGAAGACTCGGACCCCAAGAAGAGGCAACGACAGCTATTCATCAGGGTTCACCCCTCGTCGTTCCTGGAGCTGTTCAATGAGCTTCTTCGGCTGGTCAAGATGCAGACGCCACAGCTCTTCATCGAAGACTTGCGATTCGAGATTGGCAGCATCGAAATCACTGGTCCGGCATCGACGGAAGTCCTTTTGGGGGTTCTTCAACCCTATTTCACCGATCTGGCCAAGAAGGAGCCGCATGCCAACATTTTCGGCGGCTTGACCAGCGCTGCAACACCATCAGCTTTGCCTCCCAATTCTTCCCTGGCATTTTCTACCCTGGACCCACGCTTGAGGTATCCGCCGCGAAAACTCGCTCCCCCAGATCTCAGCGACGAGGGCCAGTCGCGGCTCATGAGCCTTTTGTCGAGTTGGCCAGCTGACGAGGGCCTCCAACCCTACTCGATCTTCGACCGCGATCAACGTTTCTCGGCTTCAAGGCTACCGAGGCAAAAGTCCGTGAACAAGCGAAAAGGAGCTCGCATCCCCGGGACCGACCTTGACCCCAGTCCCTCGGATCCTCCCATTCCCATCCTGCTTCACGCATCCCGGTCAGCGCGCGGCGCAGAGGCTCAAGGAACGTGGACTGTCCTCGCACCTTTCAAATGCATCCAGGCCCATCTGGTACAGCCTCGTGCACTTCCCGCTGGCGTCAGCGGGCAATCAAAAGTTTTGCCGGGGTTGAACGAGGAAGGACAAGCCCCCTTTGAACGCGGTTTGCCCTAATTTCCCCGTGGACTTCGTTGCAACAGATGCCGGCCCCGAGGGGAAGATGGAAGAACCCGCGCGAAGAAGGAGGGCCTGGAAACGCCGCCCCAAAGAGCAAGAGAACGGCCTGGAAAACGCTCGACCTCCGTGCTGGACGCAAGGGCGAGCTCGGCGCCTGGCTGGCCTTGCGATTTTTGAGCACATCCTGCGACTCGACACCTTCCAAGGAAGAGTCGCCTCCACCCCTCCGTCAATGGCATGGACGTGGATGATCCTGCAGCGGAGAAGAAAGAAGCACCCGAGGAAGAGGTCAAGCTGGCGGCGTCGTCGCATCCGCTCTAGGCAACTGCACCACGTCTCCAAATCGTCATTGGCGACGATGCTATC